GGCCTGTGCAGAATGACAGGATCTCTATAATTCCCCGCGGTGCAGTGAGGATCAGGATGACGTCACACATCTCCGGCTCTACTCACCTTTGGCTCCCTTCCCTCCTTTCCCCTTCGGAGGCATGGCAGCTGGAGACACCGGACCGGAAGTGAGAAGAACCCAGGCGGAAGCACCCTAATACAGCATTATCATCACGTGTGCGGGACCTTGCATCATCACGTGACCCGTGTGGGGGGCGAGGCCAGACATCCTCTCCACTGTACGAGAACACTGATAGCCCCGCCCACCCATGCCTCTTCCATTAACCTCTTCATTCCTGGTAGATAACAGTGACCCCTCTACCAGCAGCTTCCATTAACCCCTTCCTTACCGCCCACTCACATTCCATTAACCCCTTATACACTGGCAGCTCCAGCTCCATTAACCCCTTCATTACCAGCAGGCTGCATTCCGTTCACCCTGTGTTACCAGCATCTCCCATTAACCCTTTAATTGCCAGCAGTCTTCGTCCTTACTGTTAACCCCTTCTTACACTGGCAGGCACCATTCCATTAACCCCTTCATTGCTAGAACTTATTTGTATTAACCCAATTTTACCATTAACCCCTTCATTACTGGAAGTCTCCATTCTGCCATTTGCTTCCATTAACTCCTTCATTGCCAGCATCAGTGTCTATTAACCTCTTCATTACCAGCAGCGCCTATTAACTCCTTCATTACCAGCAGCATCTTTTAGCCCCTTCATTCCAAACAGCGTATATTAAGCCCTTCATTAGTCGCAGCATCTATTAACCTCTTCATTACCAGCAGCGCCTATTAACCCCTTCATTACTCGCAGCATCTATTAACCCCTTCATTACCAGCAGCGCCTATTAACCCCTTCATTACTCGCAGCATCTATTAACCCCTTCATTACCAGCAGCGCCTATTAATCCCTTCATTACTCGCAGCATCTATTAACCCCTTCATTACCAGCAGCGCCTATTAACCCCTTCATTACTCGCAGCATCTATTAACCCCTTCATTACCAGCAGCATCTTTTAGCCCCTTCATTAGAAACAGCGTCTATTAACCCCTTCATTACAAACAGCGTCTATTAACCCCTTCATTACTAGCTGCCCTCAGCTATATTAACCCCTTCATGATGGTCAAGAGGCAGGCCGAGGTCACAACAGCAAGTCAGCAGAGATAAGCCGCGGTCGGGAACCAGCCAAGTCGGCAACGGGCGGGCAAATGAAGACCGCGTCATATAAAATAGGACATCAGGGCAGAGACAGGTCCAGAGGAAAACCAAGTCATCAATGCATAATCAGATCGGTTCAGGTCACAGGACACCTGATGACTTCCTAGCCCAGCTCTGTTCCTTATGTAGGCCATCTGGAAGCCAAGCCTGAAATCAGGCATGCAAGTCGGTGTGCCTGCGTGCCCATGCATCAACACAACGTTCTCACGTGGATTAGTGTGCTCGTGCAAATGTGTGTGCACGCACAAGTGGTTGGAGATAACCTTTGTGCCGTGTGTTGGCATGCGTGCACACCATCAACAGATCTAAATATCTCCCAAAATTCTGATCCACCAACATCTCTTCATATCAATCTGCTGGATTGACTCTAGGTCAGCTATTCCTCATCCATTGATGAAGGATCCCATGGTCTCCTGAGTAGTGATGGGTTCGGGCGTGTTCGTAGCTCCACGTGCCGAGCCCGCCGGAAAGCTGACAGCGCCAATCACCGGTACTGAGACATTGTCCCGGTCCGCAGCTGCAGAGATCGGGAAATGTCTCCGTGCCTGTGATTGGCGCTGCCAGCTTTCCGGCGGGCTCGGCACGTGGAGCTGCAAACACGCCCGAGCCCCTCACTACACCTGAGGCCAGAGAAAGGAAGAACTTCTAGACTTCATCTCTTGGTTCTGGAGGTGACTTTTCTCTGTCCTGACATTCACTCTCTTGGTGCCGAGTTGAAGGCCAGCTTGCTCTGTCCATCATAGCATTGGCATGGTGGCTGGTAGGCAGTGGCGTAACTAGTGACCTCAGATTTTTTTTTTAATTTGTTTAAGATTTAAACAAAATTTAGACAAGGAAAGAAAAAAAAAACACTGTCCTCTTTCATCTCCCCATTATCTCCCCCTTCATTCCGTTCTGCTCCCGGACCCCATGTCACCTTCCTTGATACTTCCAGCTCCCTGTCTCCCCCTTCGTGTCCGCAGCAGCTCTATTCGGCACTCGGCGGCAGTTCTGTGTGATGAGGGGGCGGGGATTACACTGCTCCCTCTCATTGGCTGCTGCCCGGCTGGATGATGCTTCACGCTGCGCCCGGAACAAGATGAGGGGAGCAGCGTGAAGCATGTAGGGTCCAGGACGGGAGGAAGAGGTCCCGGGACTGGTAATCAGCGGTCACCAGTGGCCCCTTCCTCCTGTCCTGGGCCCCCTCCAAGTGGCCGAACTCCAGGGCCCGGTCGCGGCCGCGACCTCTGCGACCCTGGTAGTTCCGCCACTGCTGGTAGGGTTGGATATGGACACCATGATGGTCTTGGCTGCCCTGTTCTTGGCTCACCCTTCTGTACAAACGCATTACCTATAAGTCACCTACAATAGGTCACCTCCACAGTGTAACTTAGAGAACCAAGAGGTGAAGTTTAGAAGTTCCTCCTTCTCCGGCCTCAGGAGATCACGGGATCCTTCATCAATGGATGTCCTGCAGAGTGAGGAGTAGCTGACATAGAGTCAATCCAGCAGACTGAGATGTTGGTGGAGAGCTGGATCAGAATTTTGGTGGATATTTAGATCTTTTGGAGGCATCAGAAGATGGTGTGCATGTGTGCCAATGGCCCAATGCACAGGACAAGATATGTCGGTGGAGCACAGGATCAGAATTTTGGTAGATATGTGGATCTGCTGGGGGTTGCTCTAGAAGGATCCATGCCTCAGGAGGACATCAGTAGATGGTGTGCATGTAAAAATAGTATTAGAATGTGTTCTTGGAGGCAGCATGAGGTTTGCTTTATATACAGACCACCATACAAGGGAAAGGAGAGACGGTTTTGGGTTTCCTCAACAAATAAAGAGCTGTTTGACTCAACCTTGTCCGCACCTCCTTCACCCTACAGTTCTCTTGCTGGATTTTTAAAAAGTTATCACAACACTGCGTGCGGTCTCGCCATGGCTGTGCGGTCTCGCCATGGCTGTGCGGTCTCGCCAGGGCTGTGTGAGGTCTCACCAGCACTGTGTGCAGCGTCTCACCATGGCTGTGCAGTGGCAGGGTCTCCTCATGGCTGTGCGGGTGACGGGGTCTCACCATGGCTGTGCGGTCTCACCAGGGCTGCATGCGGTTCTCACCATCGTTGTTGTGTGATCTCACCTTGGCTGTGCAGTCTCACCAGGACTGTGTGCAGCGTCTCACCATGGCTGTGCAGTGGCACCGTCTCATCATGGTTGTGCGGGCGGCGGGGTCTCGTCATGGCTGTGCGGGTGGGGGGGTCACATCATGACAGTGTGACCGGCACGGTCTCACCATGGCTGTGCAGGCATTGGGGGGGTCGTTCTCATTATGGCTGTGTGAGCGGCAAGAAGGTGGAGGATGACATCTGTGGCCAGACCGGCGCTGTAAATGGCCTCCACGAGGTCCCCAGCAGGCTGCTGTGAGGTCCCCAGCAAGCACGGACCTTACGGCAGCCGAAGCTATATAAAAATGTAAAGTGTCAGTATTGGCGCTTAGTATTGTGGCATTTTCACGAGTACGAGTCCTGGTATTGGATTAGGTGCATCCCTAGTTTCCAGTGAAGGGTCTTGCTAATGCTACAGCATACAGACATTGTAGACGATTGTGCTCTTCCACCGTGGGAACAGTTTGGTGAAGACCCTTTTCTGTTCTACCCTGACTGTCCCCTGTAACAAAGCCAGCTCCATAAAGACATGGTGTGACCAGTTTGTGTAGGTCACTCAAGTTCCTCCACATCAGAGCCCTGACCTCAACCCTGCTGAACACCATTGGGATGAATTGTAACCCTTCCAAATGATGGAGTTCAGGTGTCTCCACTGAAGGTTCTGTTGATGCTACATCCTACAAAGACATTGTAGACAATTGCACACTTCCAACCTTGTGGTAACAGTTTGGTGAAGACCCTTTTCTGTTCCACCATAAAGACATGGTGTGACCAGTTTGGTGTTGAGGAACTCAAGTGGCCTTCACAGAGCCCTGACTTAACCCTACTGAACACCTTTAGGATGAATTGGAATGCCAGTTGTGAGCCAGATCTTCTCATCCAACATCAGAACCTGACCTCACAAATGGCCACATATTCCCACAGACCCCCTCCAAAATCTTGAGGAAGCCTTCCGAGAAGAGTGGAGGATGGTATAGCCGCAAAGGGAGGACAACTCCATATTAATGGCTATTGTTTTGGAATGTGAAACCAGCAAGTTCATGCCACAAATGGGAAGTGTGGGGGGGGGGGGGGGGGTGTAACTCCACAATAATGGCCATGGTTTTGGAATAAGTGGTCCAACAGGTCCATATAGGTGTGATGGTCAGGTGTCTAGAAGACATCCCCATATAGCATATTTTAGGCCTTACAGAACAAAGAAGGGTACAGTATTAAATAGGAGCAAGTGATACCTGTTCTTCATGGTAGTATGGCTACATAGCATTCAGAACATTGGCCGTACATGGATAGTTTGGAACATGAACGAGGGTTGTGGGTGACTGTGTGCACATGTATGCTTGTTCATATTCATTGCACAGTGGCAAGAGCAAGCTATCACAAGTGCCATCCCCCCAGTTCCTCATCATTCCCTTCGCGTCAGTTTTTTCCATGTAACTGTATCTGCTGGCCATGGCCGCTGCTGGATGTCTATTCATTCTGATTATAAGGAACACGACATTTAGAATCCCACTGATCATTCGGAATAAAAAAAAACTACTTCTGTGACCACTTTCCCAACTGGCCTGAAAAACTCTAGATTGACTTGCACTAATATTGAGTAAACATGCAATTTTCAATTGTGTTTTCCTGGTAGTCTAATGTGTGTGAACGTAGGAGGAATAATTCTCACTGTAATTACAGTGACAGCTCTATCAAAATGTTCTGTTCGCCTCCCACTCCTTGTTGAAGGAAAGAAATATCAT